TTTCGTATTTTTAGTAGAGATGAGGTTTCACCATGTTGGCCAGGCTGGTCTTGAACTCCTGACCTCAAGTGATCCTCCTACCTTGGCCTCCCAAAGTACTGGAATTATAGGCATGAGCCACTGCACCCAGCCTTTTTGTCCTTTTACTTTCAGTCTGTATGTGTCTTTATAGGTGAAGTGAGTTTCTTGTAGACAACATAGAGTTGGGTCTCATTTTAATCCATTTAGTTGGAGCACAATGGTACAGTCACTGCCTACAGTACCCTGGATGTCCCAAGCTCAAACAATCCTCCCACCTCAGCCTCCTGAGTAGCTGGGACTACAGGTGTATGCACCATGCCCAGCTAATTGTTTTATTTTATTTTACTTTAAAAAAATACATATTTTTTTCGAGACAGAATCATGCTCTATCTCCTAGGCTCAAGTGCAACAGTCCAGTCCAGTCATGGCTCACTGCAGTCTTGACCTTCCAGGGCTCAGGTGATCCTCTCACCTCAGCCTCCTGAGTAGCTGGGACTACAGGTACCTGCCTGCCACCACACCTGGCTTTTTTATTATTATTTTTGGAGAGACGACATCTTGCTATGTTGTCCAGGCCACTCTCAAACTCCTGGAATGAAGGGATCCTCCCACATTGGCCTCCCAAAGTGCTGGGATTATAGGTATGAACTATCATACTGAGCTTTATTTTATTTTTTTGTAGAGATAGGGGCCTCGTTCACTTGCCCAGGCTGGAATGTCTGGTTTTACTTTCCTGTTTTTTCATGGTGGCAGATACCATTTGTTTGCTTTCAGATATAACATTCCCTTAAACACTTCTTGTAGGGCGAGTCTAGTGGTGATGCATTCCCTTAGTTTTTACTTGTCTGGGAAACACTTTATTTCTCCTTTTCTTCTCCAGGGAGTTTTAATTTTTCCTAAACATGTGGTCACTCTCTAGAGGTGGGATACTCCACCCCATTTTTGGCTTAGATATTCTTGTGTGTTGAATTGTGCCCCCTAGAAGGAATGTTGAAGTCCTAACCCCCAGTGCGGTGGTTGTGATCTTTTTTGGAGATAGGGTGTGATTTCTAAAAAATTATATGTGATTAGTTAAAATGAGTTCACAGTGGATTAGGGTGGGTTCACATGTAATAAGACTAATATTCTTACAAGAAATGGAAAAGAGACCCAGAGGGAAGAAAGCCATGTGAAGACAGAGGTGGAAGCTGGTGTAGCTGTCAAGCCACACA